ATTATAGCTACAAATTCCCTTTGTGGGATTTGTGTGGCTTACAAAAACAGTTTTTTTATTTTCTAATGGAGTGAGATCAATGTGAATCATCAATTGGACCTTAGTGGACCTACACCCCAGGGGGGCCAATGCAAGTAACTCATATAAATGTTTAGAAACGTAACGATCTTCTAGGTAGGCTGATATGCAATAATAATCCTTGGGAACACTTGATTCATAATAATTGTTCTTTGATTTCAATGCTCCTTTAGACTTTTAATGAAATTATCTTTAAAAAACTAAAAGCAAAAATGATTTGATCATCAAAAGTTTTATTTTTGTTGCAACTAGGTCATGGTATATATTATTAAATGAACTATTAGAAAGTACATTGTTCTTTCATTTTCTTCCTCTTTTTGACATGACAATGTGCTCGTGAATGAGCTCATAGTGATATGAATACATGTTGTGCAACCCTAATCTTGACAGCCGAGGAAGCTTTATCAGAAAGAAAAAGAAAAACACATTAAGAAAGGGGGATTTTTTGTTTGGAGGAATGAGATATATATTACTTTTGTCTAGTTGGTTGTTGCTGTAAAACAACTCCATCCTTGAATTGACCAATACTGAATGGGATGGGGATCCTTGTGAAGACCTTATCTCTGAATAGTAAAAAATAAAAAAAATTATTTATTTTATTTTAATATTTTATCATTTGAAAGCGTATTTTATTTAATATTAAAAACTAATAATTAATTTTGTATTGAATTATTCAACTCAAGGATATAATTGATGGTGTAATTATAGAAAACGTTTATGATAATTAATTTTTAACTAAATGTATAATATTAGAATGACAAAAAATTTAATCATAATTCAATAATTGTTTTTAATTTAATATTAGAATGATGATTGCTATTGTATTGAAACTCTTAATTTTTTATTGATTGATTGATTTTGTACACTTAAAGACGGCAAGGATGTACCTTTTTATTTTATTGATTGATTTTGTAAACTTAAGATGTGAAGATTACAGCGAGAATAGCTTTTGTGACTTTTATTACTCATTTGTGTTCACATTTTTTGCCTAAATGTATGTATTTAATGCTAAGAAGCTTTCTGCTTTATTATATTCTCTTAAACTTCTTGTAATCCTACAGTAATATCAGTTTCGCTTTCTCAATTTGGAATGCTTTTATAAGCGTAGACGAGGATGTAGTAATTTGCAGAAACTTGGCACAGCAGAAGAAGATGCTTATTAAAGGGATTTGACCATTAATAGTTATCTTTTCTTTCTTATGTACAATAGATGACAGAATCTCTATAGTGGAAAAGTAAAACCATAGCATTTATATTTGTTTTTAAAACAATCATCACTTGGAATAATTCATATCTTGTCAATATTTTGTTTTACTTGGTAGTTGGTATAACTCATTAAATGCTTAGAATTTATCTATTGTAAATCATTTTTTTGGTTATATACAGCTTCCTTGGACTTCTCTTTACACATACTTTGAAGGTAATTCCATATTATTGTAAGAATGAGTTTACTTTTCCTTTGGAACCTTGTTCTACAGTATCAACACCAGCTCTGTTAAAGATTTTACAGGAAGAGGTTGATACGGATTTTCATTTGCTTCTATCTTTTCAAGCACTTGTCCAGAGAGTTAAACTTTTCATTTTTATTATTTTTCCTTCTTTATAAAACATTTTCAGGAATTGAAGATCTAAAATCTGGGAATATTTTGACCCTGTTACCTCCAAAAGCTACATTTTTTGATGATCCCCTTCGAGTTCTTAGAGCTATTCGTTTTGGTACTTTCTGAAATTTTTGAGATACATTTTAGTTACGTGCCGTAATATCTCACTCGGCGGTCACCATTGACATTTTTTTTCCCTTCCGGTGCATCTTTAACTAAATCAGTTGATGCTTTTATAGGCACACGCAGATATGCTCATCAAGAAGTAGCAAAAAATTGTTACAAACTGCACGATTTCATTCAAGTTTCTGACTGCACTAAGGTCAAATTGGACTACTTCTAATGTAAATATTGAGAACTGGTGTTGGATCTTAAGCAGCTATTACTGCGATTCAGTAGTTGTTAATCCTGTAGTTGTTTCTTACCAAGATATTGACTTGGCATCAGTCGCTGGAATAACAAAATTTTCTTAGCCTTGATAGTAAATATAAAAGATCTTGTTTTAGTTATTGCTTTTCTGATGACTAATTCTGTGGTAGCATGGCGAGACTTTTGCAAATGGTGAACATTGAGTGAATGCCTAACATAATTTAACCTTAGCATCTTATCATACTGCATAAGATCCCACTTAGATGCTGCTTGGAACCTTAATTAACCGGGTGTTCTAACTTTAGTGCCACTACTATTTTCCAGTTTATATTTTGTTACTTTCATTTTGTTAGTAGTTGATGTTGATCATGGTCTTAGTTCATTTTGTTTAATTTTATTAGGTTTTTATCTACATATTCTTATCATATGTGAATGTAGGATGAGCAAAGAATTCTTTTGTCAAGTTAAGAGTTCAGCAAAAACTACTCCAAAACTATAAACATCATTTTTGTCAGTAATCTAATTTGATTGAAAATACTCTTGGATCTACATATCCAAAGGTTTCATGTACTTGAATTGTCAAATGAGTTTGGTCCATTGTAGCAAATTTTGTGCTATACGCTGGACTTATATAATATTCTACTGTTAATGTCTGTTAAGTCCACGTCATCATTCTGTTAGTGTGTTAAGTGGATTGTTAGTATTCGTTCTGTTGTTTTCAGTCTCTTCGCTTGAGTATATAAACGACTCTGCACTCTGTTATTTGGAGAATTTTCTTAACGATTCTCGGCATCCAACAAGAATGTTCACCAGAATCTCTTCATACACCGGTCAAACAGCAAGATGAAGCTTACAATAATTTCCATTGAACTTCAAAGTCTTCAGGTTGTGCTTTTGTTCAAGTTCCTTCCTTCTCTTCAATTACTCCTACTCTGCCTCGTATAACAATTAGGCTTTCGCAAAAGAATAATGCTTACTGGAAATCACAAGTAATTTCAGCGGTTTGTGCTTTTGATTTGGAATATTTCTAACTGGATCTAGAGATTTACCACCTGAATTTGTTACTGTTGTTGATGAAAACTCTAAGCCTAGAATTCAATTACATCCAGCTTTTACTGCTTGGAGTCGAATGGACCAGTTAATTGTGAATTGTCCAAAATGTCTCAGTCAATGTTGCGACATGTAGTTAAAGAGTACGTCGGCTTGTGAAATTTGGACTGTTTTGGACAAATTGACTATCACGCAAGCTCGTTCTCAAGTGATGCGTCTCAGACATTTGCTTCAAACCACAGCCAAAGGTTCTCTAAGTGTCCATGAATATGTTCAGAAAATGAAAGATGCCGCTGATATGCTCTCAGCAGTTGGCACAGATATCTCAGATTCAAAACTCATGCTCTAGATTAGTACTGTATGGTACTACAGAAGAAAATGTTAATTCTACTGGTTCCATATCTTTTACTCCTCAGTATCAGTCTCCACCATCATTTTAGAATTGTCAATACTTTGTTCGAGGTGGTACAGGCCGAGGAAGAACATCAGGTGGTCGCAGTTGGCCAATTTGCCTACTCTGTGGTAAGAGTGGCCATGTGGTAATGTAGTGCTACCACAGGTTTGATATCAGTTTTCAAGGACCTATTTCAAGTTCAAATTCACACTCCAATGCTTACAACTCTCAAATGGTTCAGTTATTGCATTACCACCACCATCTTTTCAACCGCAAACAGCACCATCTCAAGCTTATATAGATTCACCAGCTACTATCGAATGATGGATCCTGATATCTTGATAGCGGAGCTTCTGATCACATTACCTCGCAATTGAGTCATCTTTCAGTTTGTTCTGATTACAAGGGTGCTGAGCAGCTCGCAGTAGGTAATGGTCAACTTTTATCCATTCTACATATTGGCTTTGCTTATTTGAGTTGTGCTTCTAATCAATACTTGACTTTAAAGAGAGTATTTCATGTGCCCGAAATTACTAAAAATTTAATTAGTATTTATCAGTTCTTACACGATAATCCCGTGTATATTTAGTTTACTGATCAACATTGTCTGATAAAGGACAAGAACACAAAGATTCTCCTCCTTCTACGAATTATTAGAGGAGGATTCTATTGCTTAGTTCAACCTGATTGGTACCAGCCCATTGCCACTTTTCTCTTCAGTTCCACATAATATTAGCATTCCCGTAGTGAATTTGGTGTATTCTCTTAATGCTATGAAGCATAATAATATTGCTACTTGTACAGCTGTTGCTCCTAAGCATTTGATTTCTGATACTTGTAAGAATGTTGATTGCTCAGTGTCAGAGATTAGTACTTGTACTTTATCTTAGAGAGCTATTACTTGTAATATTTATGGGAAAACTAATAAAACACTTGATTTGTGGCATCAAAGGCTTGGGCATCCAAGTGCTTCTGCGTTGAATGCTCTTATCTCTAAATTTTCTCACAAATTATCTTCACTGATCTCTTCTTTATCTTTTTGCTCATCCTGTTGATTTTGTAAACAACGTCAATAACCTTTTCCTGTCTTTTTGATTAAGGTTTCTACCTCTCGAGTTGATACATTCTGATATGTATGGGGACCATCACCTATTATATCCACAGAAGATAAAGTTAATGGTGTATTAATTTTTATTTTAAAAATTCTCCTGATTTTTGTATATAATCTTATAAGTCCTATTGAATGTGTTTGAAACATGAGATAATTACCCAAAATGAGATATTTTTAATCATGTAAAAATTGATTTTAATTTGATATTTTGATTTAGACTGATTGGATCTGGTTTTGTTGGAAATTTGAAATATCTATTCAATGTGGATTTTATTCTTTAGAGCTCATTTCTAAGTGCCCTGTCTCATTTATGTGTATGATTTGTACTTTGGTAACTCGTTCGCCAATTCTAGTGGTAGATATCAAAGATTTTATTTGAAGATTTTTAAGCTTGATACAAAGAAATACTGAGCGGATTCAAATGAAGTGTAAACTAGTACACTGTTAAAGTTATGGATGATAAATCTTATTTTTAAGGATAAAGGTATTATGCATACTCATCGTCCTGTAAATTCTAAAGGTATTTTTCTACATATACATACAAGTCCTTTTGTCGAACGGTTGACCATTTTTTATGTTTTCTAAAGGTTTTGACGAATGGTTGACCACTCAAGGAAGGATTTCACCAATTAGAAGGGAGGAAGCCGATGTCCTGGGAGGGTGTGCCAGCCCACTTCAGCTCTGCATCAGAAGGCTCAACTACATGCACTTCTCCATCACTCATGCCAAGAGCGATCTGATGAGGTTCGGATGGATTAGCTGCTATGACAAAAGGATAGGTGGTATTCTTGCTGCTGCAGAATATATATTGTCAATGAGAGAGTGATTTTACGGGCTTGTCATTTTGAAACAATGCAATATATGAAAAATGCCTTGAAACAGCTGAAGTGTTTTATACAGAATAACTGAATGTTCAGAACTAGCCAAATAAAAGGTCCACTTGCCTGACAGAGAAGGAAGGTATGTAAGCAGAAGCTGCTATTCTACATCTGAGCCTTAAATTATCCGCATCAAAAACTCCAACAGCACCGTCACAGAAACCGGCATACACCAGTAAACCATCACATGAATATACTGCACTTGAAATGGGAGCAGGGAGTGTATCTTTCGGAGACCACTACAAGTTATAAAATCATAGCATAAGGACCATTATAAGAGATACGAACTAAATCTTTTATGCGAACAACAATATGTGATTTGGGGTCTCATGGACCTTAATGTTACCGACCATGATCTCATTTCCACACTATTAGAAATCAGATCATGCTCAGTAAGTTTACTTAGAGAGAGAGAACTGAAGAATAACTACAGCTTGATGACATGGAAGCAAAACTTACTGAACGTAAACATTCAAGCCTGCTGTCATAAATGGAAATTTGGCTATCATGAACCACAAACAGATGTGTTTGATCTTTATGAAACTGGACTTTAGTTTCTGCGACCAAAGGAGATTGACGGCCAGTTTGTGGTATTATGAACCTTGATTTCAGCTTCTCCCATATAACAATACTCCACATACATAAATTATTAAGTAACGGAAATCAAAAACCCAAAGACAACAAAAAAGAAAATGCTTCAACCTGATTTTTGGGACCTTGATTGAAATTCAATAGCATTTAGAAGGGACTCGGGGAAGCCATGTTTGAAACTTGTAGTAAATTAGAGTCTTTCCTCATTTGTATAATTGACTATTCTTTTCAGTGTAGTAAATCCTATTTAACTTAATTTTTTTCTTTTTTACTACCCACAGCTTGTTTTGAATTAACTTTATAGCTAAGGGATTTGAACTCAAATTACTAGGCTCACTTGGCATGATATCATGTTAAATAACCACGTGATCCAAAAGACATATCAAAAGCTTCAGCTTATAGATAAGGGCCCAATAATGGAGCTATGACACTAACCAGGATAACCAGATTGATGCACAAAAATTATTCTAACAGAGCATTTTCGTGGAAAGATCTTCGCATTAGAGATCCCCTCAAAACAATTTGATTCTTCAACTTCACCCATTCTAACGACAACAACTTATATTTGGGCACTTCTCAACACCTATTGCTGAGAGGTAACATCCAAGAAGACTATATTTACATAGTAATTCAACTATGTTTTGATATTTTTCCAAAGAAAAGGCTCATCATATGCAGACATTAATTACCCTAAATAACTTAAGATTAATCGCAAATTGCGACTTCAATTTCAAAGAAAGTAATTTGCTCCTCAGATAAGCAAAAGTTCGTATAGAAAACCCTTAATGGTGTAAATGTTCTAGGTTTCTTACTCTTGACAAAAAAATTATGGCATCCAAATTAAACATAATTAAGAACAACTAATAGCCATAAACATTAAAATATTAAATTTTACATTAGTCAGAAACTAACCTGAGTATCAGCCCCTAAAGACACCAGTGCATTTAAAGTTTGGGAAAATGCAAGCCCTGTGATTCGCTTTTGGTGACCCTTAAGTTTGGCTTTGACCTACCAACGACATCCAACATTAGTTATGCTTCCACATTATATGTCACACAATAAGCTTTAGATAATCAAGAAAGCTATTGATTAGATTATTAAGATAGCTATTCTTGAGCTTTAACAATTTTTGAGCAGGTTTTTTCTATTGTGGTGGACTCATGTTTGCCTTTTTGCACTTTTGTTGCATCTCTCTGTGTTCAGGAAGATGACATGTTTCATTTCAAAAATAAATAAATAAATAAATGATTTCAGTGGTAACAATACAAACCATCAATTCCTTAAAACAAGATGGTAACAACAAGACTTTCCCTCTAATAAACAGAGCTAAGAAGCATAAATCAGATTGTATGGTATAGGTAATGATTTAGCCAAACTAGAATAAAATTTACATTAACAATCTCAAAATATCATCGTAATCAACTATAAATTAACACTAGCAACAAATAGAACAAAATTCAATTGAACATATCCTTTGACCAGTTAAACATAAAACTGGCTTCATAAATTAAGTAAAGAAAACAATAAACCAATTGCGAAACTTCACCTCATCGACTTTGACATTGTATATCTGAATGGAAGAATCCTCCATCCCAATGGCAATAATATCCTTATGTTGAGGATGGAATGCCAAATTGGTAGCTGCTGGAGGTGGGGCCATAAACATTGTCATGACCTGAGACACAATAAGCAATCTTATTCGGTCATGTGGAATCTCAAAATATTGCAAAGCATTATCTCAAGCAAATATTGTTGAACATGTATGAAAGACAGAGTTCAAATTTGGAGAGGTGCAATAACTTACCTTGAATGTCATCATGTTGAACAAGGAAACCTTTCCACCAGAGGTAGACATAACGTAAGAATCATTTTTGGATAAAGCAATGCATGCAGCAGACTCTTCAGCTGGTTTACCATCATGTATGTCATTTGTCATGAGTGTTCCATTGGGAGGTTGCCACAACTGGGGCGCGACATATGCAGTAGCCTGACGAGTTTGCAACAGACATTAGAAGGTCAAAATATAAAAACAAAAGAAATTTGCAGATGGATAGTAATAGACCTTCCCCAAGGGATTCCTTTCACTACGCTGCCATTTCCACAGTTTGTGAATAGCACTGGCGGTAAGGGCCAACAAAGCTAGACCAGAGTTGGTGTAGATCAACTGAACCACCTGTAATTTTTTTCTTATCTACTTAAATCCAACAATAAACCATCTGCAACAAAATAGAAAAAACATATATATTTTTTTCCCAGGCCTAAATGTAGGGGAAATTACCAATGTATTTCACACCATTTGTGGATAATGTTTTATTTGGCTAATTATATATTGATTGGTATTAAGCTTTTGTGATGAACTTGATATCATTTCTTCTGTGTCCTTTTGTAAAAAGTCATTTAGTTTATATTTATTTTGTCAATCCTCTCCTACTTTGTTAATCGATGAAACAGGCACTACCATGCAGAGTGGGTGTATTATGCCCTAACTTCACAACTGAGGTGGCCATGTGAATTGGCAGTCCACATACGATCATCCTCAGGGGCATGTCAGGATATTTAAAAAAGGAAAGGAAAAATTTGAAAGAAAGGTTAACACATCAGACGAGTAGGTTTAAACTAGCATTCCAGCATTTGACTTAACATTCCGGAGTTCCTGTCACTATGCATCCAATTCTTTAGAATATACGGTTGGTATATTAATGAAGGATATAGTTGCATATGATTTGCATAGCTTTATAATAGTAAAATATCTCATTTATGAGCACAGGCACAGAAAAAGTAGTAAACAACTACAAAGAAAATATCCAGCACCATAGAAGTAGAGGGATTTCTTCCTAACTGAACTAACATGCAAATACTTGAATTCTTTACCGCCTACATTGTTTGGTGCAATAGAATCAGGTAAGCGCAGAGATTTCATCTGTGATGGATTTGAAACATCAGGAATTTTCTAGCACTTAACCTTGTCTCCATCATCGGCAATACGTGGTTTGACGTCAACAAGTCTGCTGCTGTCCATAGGACCCTGCAGTGGCACTCAGTATGAGTTTGTGGACCAAGGTAAGCACCAACAACTTCATTGTATAAGAAATGCTAAACTTACAAGACTGTCGATAGATACAGCCGGAGGAACTCTATCTGGCCGCTCAAGAGTCGAAGCAATGGCACCAGAAACATTTCCTACTGGACCGAGAGCATTCACAATCAATGGCTGCCAAAAAAGACAGTAGCACATAAGACACCAACAGAACAAAAGGTCAATTAATAGACTTATAGGAAAATGTATCCTAAAGGTCTTAATTCTTTAAGCTTACAGAAGGTTAAATTCACAAGACTCTAGAGACTACTATGGGATGCCATCATAAGAATTTCAATACTCAGTACTGTCATTTTATCTCAGTCATGAACCAACCAAACCTAAACATTTTCTAGTTTAAGGTTGATAATGCCAGCCCCTAAAGAGCTGAAGTTTATAATTTTATCTTTCCATGTGTTGTTCTTTCTATATAAATTATTTTTAAAAAAAAAATGTTCAAATAATGATATGAGAAGAGGATTACGATTTCTAGGTAACTTCTTAATAAAACACAAATATTGTTTGAATATACATAGAAAAGTAACACATCAACAAACATGCACAAAACTACCTTAGAGTTGATGGGTTCAGAAGGGACCCGATTTCTGTCAATAGCCCTGCTTTCTAACATTCTTATCAATCGCAAACCATCACTGTTGGCTAAAATTTTTATACCATTGTCACTCGTTGTAACTGCGAGCAGAGATCCTTCCTTATTGAATCTCAGTCTAGGACTAGCCTGCAAAGAATATAATTGAATGAAACTGCTACGTATCTACTTTTAAATACCATTGGTGTACAAGTAAACAGTATGACTACAAACTAGCAATCCACCATCTGCATCAACAGCCGTCAACATATTTGTATTGTCCATATCCCAGAATTTAATTTGAAATTCATCACCAGTAGCTAAGAACCGATTCCGTGTTGTATCAAACTGGACAACACCTAAAGAGCACTTTCTGAAACCAGAATATGTCCTTTTGATAGCTCCTTCACTCTCATTCCACTCAACTAAATGAGATTCGCCTTCTTTACTTGTTCCACATGAGAAGAGCCTGCAACAAAAAATGTAGAAGTCTTGTTCCATTTAGATGATGTAAGAACGATTACAAAATAATGGCACATCAAAGGCAGAGAAGTGCCTAAAATGTCCAGCAACAAAGGATCCTCGGCAGCTAAATGATATACATCCTTTGTAAAACAAGATATTATCAGAAACTTCAATGAATCATTATATAAAGTATTATGTGCACAAACAATATGAAAAATCACCAAATTATATTAGCCTGTGTCCATCTTAAAGTTAACCAAGCTTTACCTTGTTCCATCTTCACTATATGCCATCATGGTGCACCAGTGTCCAGGAGCATCGTATTCCACTCTAGATCCCAAGCCATCATATAGCCATGCTTTGATCTTTCCATCAATGGCAGTAGATAAAATAAACTGCACATTTCAAGATAAGAAGATGGATAATATGAGATTCAAAGTGATGGTAGCCATCTTATTGCTATCAGCTAGTTAGCAGATACAAAAAGATACTGACTCAGATCACCAATCACAACATAAATGAGTTAAATAAATATTGACCTGAATATTTTCTTTGTGGTGAGGGCAGACTGAATGCACAGGAGCTTCATGGCCTTCAAATGTATACTGCCTGCCTCCAGCTACAGCATCCCATACCTGTCATAGAAGAAACTTACTCTAAGTATCCCAACAAGTCAAACTCATTTATAAGGAGAAAGTTAGAACAAGGATATATCAATTATGTTTTCCCTAGAGAAGAAGGTCACGCCCTTGTAAGATGATACCTTAATAGTCTTATCATCTCCACATGTAACTACACACAGTTGCTTGTTAGGATGAGCAAACGCAATGTCATTAACTCCACCAACATGGGCATCGATCTGAAAAAAGAGACAAGTGATCAATAAACTGTACCTAGCCATTTTTGAGGAAGAACTGATTTTCAGGGTACAGAATTTACATCTAAGTGATGTCTTAGTTCTCCAGTTAAATTGTAAGTATATATCTGAACTAGATTTTACAGGAGTTGGACCCCATAGTTGCGAATGTATTATTTCTAAAGGAGCTTTAGCTCTAGATTTTGACATAGGAAAATGACAGTGTTGCAACTTCCCATACTGACATGCTTCACAAAAGAAGCTTTTATTGCTAAACAGAGGTTGTTTTACATTTAACTTGTTCAAGACAATATGAAGTGTTCTACTATTAGGGTGGCCTAATCTTGCATGCCATAATGTGAGCAAATCTGAGTTTGCATTATTACTAAGACATTTATTTGAGGCTGATACAGTAGTAGGAAAAGCAATAACTACTTTTGAGTTGAGAGGAAAATGAACTCCAGAAGGCACCTTTTAGATAGACGGTAATATTGCAACAGCAGGAGTAGCAGAACAAGAGACAGACTTCATGCTTGGATTAATAGTCTTTGTCAACTCAAGCTGATATAAGCCATCCTTTACTATGCCCCGAAACAACAAATCTTTACTCTTTTTTTTCCTTTACCAAGCAATGGTCAGAGTGAAATTCAACAATCACATTGTTATCTTTAGTGATTTGTGATATATTCAGCAAGTTTTTTGCAATTTGTGGAACACAAAGAATATCCCTAAGATGAATTAATCTATTATTATCAAAGGAAGATACCATCAACATACCTGTATGAGTAATAGGAATAGACTCCCCATTATCAACTTGCACCTTAGAGCCTCCTGGATAGGGAGATTTTAGAGCCAGATTTGAGGCATCAGCCACCATGTGATTTGAGGCGGTAGAGTCCATATACTAGCACTAATCGTGAATAGTATGTGGAGTGGCTACTGCCTGATAAGAAGATCTAGCTTGTAGTGATGTATAACCAACAGAATTGGAGGAATTCGTTGATGTATCACCAACAGAGTGAACTTGATAATTTCTTGGACACGAAAATGCAGAGACAACATAGTTATTTGAACTGGAAGGTACTGAAGCTAAATGATCATGAAAACAAGAAATGACGTGTTAGGAAATTGGACAGGATTTGGCTTGAAGTTGGTTGCGATTAGAGCTTGAGCAGATTCAGTGGATCCTCCAGCAAAAAAATTATTAACTGAAGCAGACTGTGGCTGTTGTGGTTGTTGATTATATGAGGATTGGTGACTATAAAAGGAACCATTAAAGCCCTGATATTCCTGATCGAAACGATGATAACATTGCAATGCAGAGTGGCCTGTCTTCCCACAAACTTGACACACTAACTTTGGTTTGAAGTATCCTCGGCCTCTACCTCTGCCTCTCACCATGTTGTAGCTAAATTGTGACATTTCACCAGGAAAACTCTTAAGTATGAGTATGAACAAACGGTCTAAAATTCGACCCTTGATAATCATTGCTTCCAAACACACCTTGTCCTTGATAACCACTGCTTATAGGAGCACCCCTATTCTCTGCAAAATGAGATATTATTGGAGTAGAAACACCAGTAGGAAGATGATGTTGAGTGCCAAATTCTGAAGGTGAATTGAAAGAGTGTGGTATAGTAGGTGTTGCTTTATTAACAGTATGCAGAAACTGTGACGTAGCGGGATTAGGAGAACCACGTCGTTTGGTGGCCAACAGAGCAGATGCTAGATGTTCATGAAAATTCATCAAAGAATAGCTTTGGCGTTCCAATCTCATTTCATGCTTATGAAGCATAAACAAAACTTCTTGAATGCTTGTTGTACTGCTATTATAGGTCAAACTAGCAACGACAGCATCATATTCAGGGCCAAGACCGTCTAAAATATACAAGAGTAACTCTTCTTCTCCAAGATTTACTCCACTTGCAACTAATTCATCTCCTATCTCCTTCATTTTGAGAACATATTCATTTACATTTAAATCATTCTTTTTAGTGCTTTGTAACATATTTCGTAGATGTAATGTTCTAGCCTTGGAAAAAGACTGAAAATGTAGCTCTAAAGTATTCCAGATTTCGTATGAACTCACACATTTAGCTACATGTCTGAACATTGATTCAGATATTAAAGAAAACAACCAGCTGACTAAAGATTGATTTAGTCTTTTTCAATTAAAATACTTAGGGTTTGGTTTCTTTACTACTTCCTCTAAATCAACAGATTTCTCAACAAGAAACATGAGGTGGACAGATACTCTCACTAGTGATGAAGCCAGCAAGACCGTGAGATACAAGAGCAGGAAAGATCTGTGATCTCCTGTAACCATAATTCTTTTCCACAAGCTTAACTGAAAGTGTGGAAAGTTAAGGATGGGCAACCAGACTGTTTGCGCTTGCATTACCAGTCTGCTCACCTTCTGATTTTGAAGCAAGATTGGAAAACTCAGGATTGATTTGAGCCATTTGACGGGTGTCAATAGCTCTGATACCGTGAAGATTATTAATGAAAAACCAGAAAAGGACAACAAAGAAAAGAACAGAGAAAAGACGTGATATCAAAAAGCTGAAGAAATAGAATCTGTGTATTTTGCATGAAGGTTAGTTACAAAACCAGAACCGTTGTTATTATATAACAGATCAAAACACACCGTATTAGAAAACATTTCAATTCTTACAAATACACCCTTACTCTATTATACTCAACACTCATCATGTAGATTTCCTCATCTTGTAAAGCATCCCATACATTCTTCACAATAGAATTTTTTGATTCGAAAGCCAAATAATCTTCATTAGATCTAAGCCATATCTCCTTGTGAATAGTAGGATGGGAAACTTTCTTGAAACATTTTTCTTGTTGCAGGAGTGGACCAATATTGTCCTCCATTAATTCGGATGTTGCCTTGCTATTTTGGTAGTGGGTCTCGCGGTCAGTGCCAATTGAACTTTGGTTTTTAATCAAATCCTCTGCTTTAACAATGATAGAGTCAACATCCTCTAGCCACTTCTTCACATCCTCTTCAATCTCTTCCACATTGTTTTTAGCCTCCTCAACCTTACGCTGCACTTTGCGTCTTGCATTCGTCAGCTTCGAAACATCATCTCGGAGCTTTTCAAAGTTCTTCTCTAGCGGAATAGTAGGATAAGAAACTCTGTCGAATTTCACTTCTTGCTGCGGGAGTGGATCAATCTTATCCTCCATTAATTCGGATGTTGCCTTGCTCTTTTGGTAGCGAGTCTTGCGGTCAGTGCCAATTGAACTTTGGTTTTTAATCAAATCATCTGCTTTAACAATGATAGAGTCAACATCCTCCAGCCACTTCTTCACATCCTCTTCAATCTCCTCCTCATTGTTTTTAGCCTCCTCGACCTTACGCTGCACTTTGCGTCTTGCATTCGTCAGCTTCGAAACATCATCTCGGAGCTTGTCAAAGTTCTTCTCCAGCGGAATAGTAGGATAGGAAACTCTGTCGAATTTCACTTCTTGCTGCAGGAGTGGATCAATCTTATCCTCCATTAATTCGGATGCTGCCTTGCTCTTTTGGTAGCGGGTGATGCAGTTGGGGCACAATCCCTTGAAACATCGAGAGTTTTTTTCTTTCTCCTGAATCAACCTCCCTGCTTCAGTAATGGTATTGTTCACCGTAGTCTGCCAGTCCTTAACGCTTTGTTTGATCTCTTCCACATTTACTTCGGTAGCAGTAACCTTAACCTGCACGTCGTCATTTGTATTCTTCAGCATCCTAACTTCCTTTTCGAGATTTCTCAAATTGGTATCGTAGTTGTACAAGTAATGAAATGGACGCCCAATCGGAGCAGCCAAGCACTTGATAGCATCCAGAACAAAACTCCCGGCACCGGCGATAGCCCCAATAAGTCCTGCAGCCATTTTAAAACTTTCTTTTCTCCTTCACTTCTTCTTCAAGTTCGGAAATTATAAAAAAATAATAATAATAAAAGAGAGATAATAACAGGTGCAAACTCAAATAACAGAACAAGAGTAAGGAAAAATGCTGAATTTTTTTTTTTTTTTTAAAAGAGATTATTTGTTTCTTTTTTGTAAACCAAAAATAAGAAAACGGGAAGGATTTTTTTTTTTTTTTTTTTTTTAACAATAAATAAGAAATAAGGGAAAGGGAGAGGAGTGAAAAATCAAGCCATCGGGTTTCAGAGTAAAAGTAATTTTAGTGGTATCTGAAGGGGTGAGAGAAATTTATGAGGGAAAGAATTTTTTAGTGATTACTGAAAGATTGAGAGATAGAAGAGAACTGAAGAAGAAGAGAGATTGAAGGGAGGAAGAAAACAAAGGACAACGAAAGCAGTGGAGTTTAGCTTACTAGTTACTACTGCTTTCCCTCTGGATCCAAACGCATTTCATATAAAGTTTCCAATTAATTATTTTTATAATTGACCAAAACGTGTTTCATGGTTTATAAAAGCATTTTCTTATATGATTCTCTTATTCCCAATTTTATTTTCCATAAAAGTAATTTCATCTTTCAACTTTTATCAAATTTAATAAGAGTGAGGCAAA